GCGGATCTACTAAATATTGATTTCATTTCTTTTTTGTGGTGCCCAAATTTATGCACCTGCCTGATTTTGTTTAAACAATTATTGCACACTTTCTGTAAATCCAATAAACTTCATTTCACTTCTCAAATATCACTGTGTGTGTCTCCTATATGATATATTTAACTGACATTTTTATTGTAACAACCAAAACAGGAAAATAATGACTATTAACAAGGTTACCCAGACTTTTGCATCCCACTGTACACACACACAAAATACGTGTTTGTGGGATCAATTCTAAACTATAGTGACAGTCTCACCTGCAGCCAATAGGACATGGATACTGTTTTCATCAAACAGGTAGTCCTCTGATTATTCTTCATTTTCAAGTGGACTTCAGGTCATTCATAATCTGATGAACATATTCATATTTTTCCCAATAATGTAAGAGTTCCAGGGGTTTTCAGAGTGTTTCAATGGAAAACTGTGTCAAATATATATCGCATGTAGTAAACGTTTGTGTTAAACTCACAGGTCTGTCACAGAGACTCCATAATCTAGGGGAAAACACAGGGCAAAGATGCAACGATCAGCTAAAACCACATCAATTCATCGTTATAAAATTGTGTTCACCAGTTATAATGTTTACCGTTTTAGATACAGTCCCACTGAAAAGAAACAAAAGGAATACATGTGTTGAATTAATAATCAGCGGCACACCGAGTCAGTTTCTATAGAAGGCTGAGTGCCAGAATCTAACGCCACATGGCTTGTGCTCCATTTACAGTACCCTCACTCCAGTAGGTGGAGACAGACCTCAATAAATTAAATCTTCACGCCCACAGATTGTCGAATGACAACAGTGTTTTCCACTGCTAGTTTAAGAAATGAAGTAGAAACCTGCTGACACCTCCCATGTGCATCATCTGGTAACCGCGATCTATTCTCATCCAAAGCTGATGAACCGACTATACTGAAAGGAAAGCAGAGATAAATCGTTTAAAATGATCATTGTGGTCACTATATTTTGTTTTCTGCACTTCCCAGAAATTACAGGTAGGGAAAACAACAATAATTATAACAATACAATGATTATAACATAATGATTCTTGTATTTAAACACTGTTTTTCCACAGGTGCATCTGACACAAAAAGTCTCTCCCAAACACCTCCTTCCATCATTAGGAGAATTGGTGAATCTGTTCAAAGTGAAATCAAATGTTCACACAGCATTAAAGATTATGAGGTCATTCTTTGGTACAAGCAAGACCAACACCAAACTTTGGAGATCCTGGGATATGTCAACCTGCAGTTCGTGAATAAAGAAAGCAATCCGAGTGGAAATATCAGCTTTGACGGAGATGGCCGTAAAAAGTCAGCCCTCACCATCTATAATCTAAAGTTCAGTGACAGTGCAGTGTATTTCTGTGCTGCCAAACGCCACAGTGCTGCAGTTCACTGTAAAGTCAGTGCAAAAACCTATTCCCTTATTTGCCTGACAGAACAACAAAGTGCTGGGGATCCTGAGCACCTGCAGCTACCCTTCCTTTCAAGTTTGAGTTTGTTAAATTCATGTTCAATTAATATGATATTTTAAATACACAGTAATTTGCAATGCTCTCTATGCACTTCAAACAAGTTGAAAAAAACTTCCTTTCTGAAGCTGGAAACATTTCTGTCAGGTAATCCGCGTTTTGAATGTTATCAAATCTGTCTTGATCTAGAGAACTGTAATAACCTTGTAATAGCCTTAAATTTCAGATATATCCAAGGTTTGAACTGAGGCCACCAAGCCTGATGCTCACAGTGAGGAATTTGGAGCCATAAGATAAAGGCTTGTATTTCTGTTCTGCGTTTCAGGGACCAATGTGCAACATCTGTATAAGACAGACATTCATTTTCATCACAAAGTGGCATCTATGATCCCTCTGCACGTATGAATCGTGCATCAAGAATAGTTTACACAAACTCATTTTTACTAGTTGATAAATGCAAGTCAGTCAGTGGATACAAAACTAAATGATTCAGTAAAATATAGAAAGATAACTTTAGATACAGATTTAAAAAATTGTGGTCTGATCTCACATGAGTAAAAGGAATATCGATGCTGAAGTGACTACAAACAAAGGGGACACAGGGGAAAGATAATGATTTTTACACCCCCAGGGGGAGACAAATGTCAGCAAATGAAATAAGGTAGCAAACATATTGCACATGCCCAAAACCACAATATCTACACATAGCCTGCAGATAAAGTCAAAGCTTTGGTTTCATATCTGTCATCCATTAACTGTGATGTGCTTCACAGGAGAGGAATGTTCAACATGATCTCCACAGTCTTCATTCTCTTTTTCTTTCAGCTGATGGGGGATAACGGTGAGTATTCTAAGATCAGGAAATCATCACAGAGCTGGTAATTTCATTTCTAAAATAATCATGTGTTATTTTATTCCCAACAGGAGTTTCTAGCACCTACAATGTCCTGCAAACACCTCCTTCCATCATTAAGAAAGTTGGTCAATCTGTTTCCAGTGAGATCCACTGTTCACACAACGTGTCAATTTTTGAACGGATTCTCTGGTATAAACAAGACAAACACAGAGCTCCACAGTTCCTTGGATACCTAAATCTGAACTTTCCCTACCCCGAGGAGGATGTGAAAGGAAAAATCAGCTTTAACGGAAACGGCAAAAAACATTCAAACCTGACCATTTCTAATGTTTCAGTGACTGACAGTGCTGTGTATTTCTGTGCTGC